CGCGGTGCCAGCGGGCGGTGGCGGCTGCGCTGATCGCTAGGGTTACGGCTGTTTGCAGCGACCTTCAGCCTCTCGCTTCCGTCAGTTCCGGCGCCTGCCCGGTTCAGGAAAAGGGGCGAGGGGGAGGTCCCTGCGAGGGCTGTGGGCCCCGAGGCTGAGAGCCGCTGGGAGCCGCCTCAGGCCTGGGCCTGGGCCTGCGGGCGCCTCTGGCACCGGAGAGGGGGTGTTGCACCCTGTGCTTCTGTTCCTAGGCGGTTCCCAAAGCTCAGGGGCCAATTGTTAGAAAAACAGTTTCCAACCTAAACTTTCTCGAGGTTGGCTCCAAGTGTGCGTTGGGAGAAATGGGAGGAAGGGAGAAGTAAGTAAGGGGTAAGACTGTCCATGCAGAAGGGGAGAGGCAGGCTACTTTCATCATTAAGGTTAGATAGTATTTTATCCATGCAGTGTTCATCTCACCTCCCTTTCCCTGTGTTTTAGACGTATTCCCTTATATTTCTAGACAGCAGTTCTATTGCTAGTCAGCTCCATTCTGATAGACTAAAAAAGCTTGGGGTAGATTCACCCCCCCCCCCCCTTGGTCATCCTGGTAGCCCTTATCTGTCTTTTCTGGGATCGATCTCTATCTGGAGCCTAGGAAGTAGAATATGAGAAAGTGCTTCTGATGGAGTCTTCCGCAGAGCCACATCCAAAGCACGCTTCTCTCTTCTCTGTGTCTTTTGGAAACACGTTTCCTGATTTAACAATACAATTACATAGCACTGGTGGTTTGGTTACACCATGAGTAACTAATAAAATGAGGTCCTTCTGTCCTTTCAAACTGAGTTTGGGGAATTGCATTCCATTATATCTTAGAAAATAGCTAGAAAGTAACTGACATGAGGCTGACCAGAAGTTGTGAAGCTGCCTTCTCTTGGCATCCAGAAGCTTGCTGGTTATCACAGTATTAACGATTTATGAAATCCCTCTTCACATGATATAGCTTAGAAGCAGCGGTTGGAAATCTCACAAAAATAGGGTTAAGATTCTTGAGAAATAATTTTACTGCAGGTATAAATGCTATTTTCTCTGGAAATAATGCTTATAACCCCACTTTCCTAGCTTCACTGCCTGGGTGCTTGGCACAGAGGGAGCTGCTGTCTTCTCCTTGACTGGAGATGTTTAAAAAAAGAACATACAACATAGGAATTATCTGCGATAGCTGTTCGCTATCTCTAGGAGAGATGTTATGAACAGGAACTGAAGCATAAAAAGTTTAAGCATAATCACCCAGTATCTCAGCCTTTAAAAAATTCCATCAACGCAGCAATACAAATCTGATTAGGAATGAAGCATTTGGTGCGATAAGCATATATGCTTCCAAGCAGCACTATTATACGGACTCAAAATAGTTATGCGGTTATCATTCAGTAAAGAGATAGTGAGGAATAATGAAAACCGAGGACGCTCGAGTACCCAGAAAAGTTTTGGTGATGCTTGGGGGAAAGTGAATAAGAGCAAGTGAAAAAAGGGGTAACTTTGGCTTTGTGTGCGTTCATCTGGGCATTCTGTATGATCGCTCTGCTACCCGTCTCCTTAAAAACGAAAACCACACGTTTGCACCACCTGACGCTGCTCTGCCGCACCGCCGATGCCCTGCCGCCCTCCCCGCTCCCCGGCGGAGGCACGTCCGGCGCAGGCGCGCCCTCTCCCCCGTGAACGCTTCGCCTCCGCGGTTGGGCCCTTCGGGCGCTCCGTACCAGAGGCGATT